CTCTCCCTCCCCCTGGGGATGCCATCGCCCCCGGGTTTGGGGTGCCAGCCCCCGGCCGTGGTCCTGCGGGAGGGTGGTGCTGCCTGGTGCCCCCCAACTGGGTGCAGGGGTGGGGGGGAGGCTGCGGTGGGGGTCCGGCGCAGCCACCAGGCTGAGCTTGGTGCCAGCTCCACGCTCGCCTCCTCCTCCTCCCTGCAGGATGCTGTTCTCAACGCCTGTTACCGGGGCTGCCGGCTGTTCTCCATCTGTCACTTCGTGGATGCGAGCGCCGAGCTGAACACAACCCAAGCTGAGTGTGAAGCAGGTGAGGAGCCGGCGGCCGAGTGGCCCCGGTTCCCCCAAACACCATCCCGGGGGGGTCCCCCATATACCGCCAGCATCACCATGACCCCTTCCACCCTCCCCGAGCATCCTGCCTCCGCTCGGCCCCACGCTGTGCCCCCAGGACCTTGCTGCAAACCAAGCGGGGTGCAGATTTGCACCCACTGGGTGTAAATCGGGAGGGATTAGGGGGGTCCTAGGGATGAGGGGCTCATCTGGGGGATTGAGCACCCCCTAAATCTGACCCCCCCCCCCCACCTTGCAGCATGCACCGAAGCCTACAGCAACGCAGAGGAGCAGTTTGGCTGCGTGACGGGGTGCCGCAAGCAGCTGCCCGAGGTGGAGAGCAGGAAGGAGAAGGTGAGGGTCCAGGGAGATGGGGACCTCCCGTTCCCCCCCCCTTAACCTGCCCAACCTGTCCCTGGTGCCACCGGCAGTGGCTCTACCCTGTCCCTGCATCTGGCTCCTTCCCCAAAGGGTCTGTGGGCAGCAGGGGCTGGATGTGTCCCTCGCCCCGGGGTGCCTCGGCTGCTCCGTCCCTGTGCCATCACCCCACGGGACTGCCGGGGACCGGCCGGGGAAGGGATTCGGCTCCGCAAGGAGCCTGGAGCCGTGGGGCTGCCCTCGGGGTGGCTTCTCCGGCCCCCTCGATCCTCACCTGACCCCCGGTGTGGGGACACGGGGTGACTTGGTCACCCTGGGCATGGCAGGGACCAAAGTTTGTCCCGCTACGGAGCAGAGCACGCAACGCCAATGCAATGGAGACCCTGCTGAGCCCACCGGCCAACCCCTGCTCGGGACACCACAGGGAGATGCTGGGACGTGGTGGCTTGGCCCCTGGGTCCCACTTTAGGAAAAATCCCTTCCTCCTGCGGCAGCTCAGCCCAGTCCCTCCTCTCCCTGGGGATGAAGGCTCTAACACCCCGCATGTGCAGCCCATCCATCCCTCCATCCCTCCCCAGCTCCGTCTCTCCCCTCGCTGCCCGCCGGCCGTCCCCACCAGCAGCCTCGCAGTTCGGCAAGTCCCAGCGCCAGGACCCAGTTTCCCCCCGTGCTTTCCGAAGGCGGATTGGGACCAGGCGTGCTCCTTGGCAAAACCCACACCGTGGGATGCCCGCTGCATCTTGCTTTATTTTATATCCCCTCTTATACGTGCTCCTGCAGATGGGTGCTGTGGGCTTGCTGGGATGATACGAGCCTGCTGCCGGCCTGTCGCGCTGCTTCGTCCGAAGCATAAAAAGCAGATTAACTGGGCTCGACCCAGGCTGCTGCAGATTTGGGCCAGGCAGGGCGATTACGCCGAATTCCCAGGGCGAGAGGATCTGACGGGCGATTGTTGCAGATTCCCCCACTTTTGATCTGTTATCCTTCCCAGCAATTAGCAACGCTTTTTCCTCCTACATTTAATTAATTCAGCTTTTGCCCAATTAATTAAATTAGACTTTGGCCCAAGGTAGAGGCTTTTGGCTTTGTACACGTGCAGACAAAGATGAATTTGTGCTGTAGAAAGCCGCGGCTCCTTCGAAAAATTGCTTTGCAGCCTGTTTTTAAGACCTTCCTAGTGTCTGATCCCATTTCCCAGCCCCTCTCTGAGGCCGGGGATGAGCACCGGGGGGCAACCGGCTGACGGGGAGGGCCGTCACCCCCTTCACCCACCCAAAGCATTTTTCCTTCGGGTTCCCAGACAAGCAGGCAAAGCAGATTTAGCATAATAATTAGATACAGAATCTGACCTATTTATTTCCTGTTTGCTGGTTTGACCGTGCAAGGGGCTGTCGGAAAATGTTCGAAGCCAGTGGCAGGGAGCAGCCAAGCGGATTCCAGCAGGGATGCTTTAAAAATAACAAACCGCCGCGACGGCCAAGAATCCAGGGCACGGAGAGGCTGCCAGGAGAGAAACGCCCTCGGCATCTCGGCCGCTCCGCTCCTATTGTTTAAAGAGCTGGTGCGAGCTCAGGGCTGCCGAGGGGCTGGGTGATGGCCCTGGGGCTGGGTGATGGCCCTGGGGACCACAGCCCTGGGCTCGGTGAACCTCCCGTGGCCGAACCACAGGTCCCGCACGTCCCCATCCCTGGGAGAAGCAGGCTGAGCCCCAGACCTGAGCGTTTGGCTCAACTCGGTCACGTCCTCGGGGTGGGATGTTGTCTGCCAGGGTGGGTGACGAGGGAACAGCGGTGACACGATGTCCTTGCTCCTTTGCAGAGCCTGGAGCTGAAGGCTCCGTCGTTCTCCATGTTCGATTTGGTCTCCACCTTCTGCAACGACATCGTCAGCTCTGCCCAGAGCTTCATCTCCTCCACCTGGACCTTCTACCTGCAGGCAGATGATGGCAAAGTCGTGGTCTTTCAGGTGGGGGTGTTTCAGGTGGGGGTGTCCCGCGTCCCCACTCTGCTGCAGGGGGTGGGGACCCCCCCGCTCACTGCTTTCTCCCTCTTTCCCTGCCAACCCATCAGTCCCAGCCGGAGATGGAGTATCCAGTACTCGAGGCACTGGAGACCCAGCCGGAGCGGCCGGTGCGGCCGGGACTGGGGTCCAGCCCCCACGTCTCCCAGCCCCACACAGGTGCGGGGGGGTCTGGGCTGCCGGCGGGGTGAGGGGCCGGGACCCTCCAAGCCCTCTTGGCTCTAATCCGATTTCTCCAGAGCTAACAAATTACCCGCTTCTCAGGTCTGATTAGCTTCCACACCCCACACACCCGCAGGGTCCGGACTCGGGACCCACTCCAAGAAGTTCCTGGGATCCTCTGCGTCCCTGCAGCGGGCAGAGGGTCCCTGGGGGGAGAGGGGACCACCCGGCACCCCTGCACCCCATCATGTGCTGGGCAAGGGGATGGGGAGCAGGACAGGCGTGCCCACAGTGGGTGCCCGGGCTCAGCATCGCCTCTCCCCTGCCAGGCCCCCGGGTGAAAGGGGAGAAGCCCCCCGTGAAGGAGCCACGAGGCAAAGGCAAGGTGCAGCACCCGGACCCCCCGCAGCCGGAGCACGACTTCCTCGGCTGCATGTCCAAGTAGGTGTAGTGGGGCTGCGCGGGTGCCTGGGGGGGCCTGGACCTGCTGGATACGGCGGAGCAGATGCTCTCCCACCCCCCAATTCCCACCTCGTGCCCTGCCATAAACTCGTCCTTTTTCTTTGGCGGGGGGTGGTGGGGTGTTACAGGCGCTCAGGCCTTCCTCGCTGGATCCTGGCTGCCTGCCTCTTCCTCTCCATCATGGTGATGCTGTGGCTGAGCTGTGCCAGTTTGGTGACTGCTCCTGAGCAGCACGTCAAGACCCAGGTACGGGGTGAGCGGTGCTCAGCGCAGCCTGGTGGGGGGGTCCTATGGGGGTCCCTGACACCCTGGCTCTCCCCATCACAGCTGGGTGAGCCTTGGCGGGGCTGAGACGTGGCCGTACAGTGTTTGTGGTCCCCGGCCACCGTGCTGGGCTCGCCGGCACGTCCATGCCGTGCTGTACGTCCCCAGCCAGCCCCGTGGTGTTCCCAGTCTGGGGACAACGGGGTCCTGTCCCCTCTGCCTCTCTTTCAGCCTCTGAGCATCAACGGAGACAAGGAGTACCTGGAAGACCTGGATGGCCCTGGCGCTTTCCCCCTGCCGCCCGTCATCGCCGTCACCCTGTGCCCCACGCACGGTGGCGAGGACGTGGGGCCGCTGCCCCTCAAGGTCGACCTGGGCAAGACCATCCTGTAGTGCTCCCACCCTTCCCATCACCACCACATCACCTCCCTGTTTCCATCCCCAGGACATCGTCCCCGGTCCCATTCTGTGGTCCCTCCAGCTCCCCCGTGTCCCCGGCTCCTGGAGGGGCATCTCTGGCTCTGGCATGGTGGGGGGACCGGGGGTACGATCTGGCTCGGTCCCGCTCTCCTCCCCAGGGATGGCCGCTGCAGAGGAGGCTCCCAGGAGCCGGGCAGCGGCTTTGCCTCCTCTGTAGATGTGCTGTTTGCTGGGATCTTGGTTTCCAGTGCTCGAGAGCCAAGAGAGGAGCTGCCAGAGCGGGGAGGCCGGGGGGAGCCCGTCCTCGTAGCGGGGCGGTCCGTCTCTTCCCGACCGGAGCCCCCGGGGCCCCGCAGCCCTCCGGGCATGGGTCCAGCACTGGGCAGGAGGGAGCCGGCTGCGGTGGGGGATGGAGAGTGTCTGCAGCGTTCTGGGCTTTGGCTCGGCACATCCCCGGCCTCCCACCTTGGGCTGAGCCTCCAAGGCGCCGTCTCCAGCCCTGGGAACTCCCTTCCGCCGGCCGGAGCCGATTGCCTTGGGGAGCCGAAACGTGGCGAATGGATTTGGCGTTGGCAGCCGGAGAGAGGAGCGGATCTTGCCGCCTCCATGCCCACGCGAGGACCCAGCCGGCCCCTTCCCGGAGCTGCGGAGGGGCCCCAGGGTGGCTCCTTCCCCTCCCTGATGCCTTTGGGGCGGCTGGCCCCAATGCCGATGACGGGTCGCTGGTGGGACTGAGCAGGGGACGAGGCGACGTTTTCCTGCCTCGTGCTGCTGTGGCACGTCTGAGCTCAGGCAGGAGGTGTGAGCTGCCGGGATGCCTCCGTCCTGGGCTCGGCATCCCTGCCCGATGCCGGGAGCAGCTCAGCCTGCAGGGCTGTAGCCGATGGCAGGACCTAGTGGCAGCCGGCCTCCAGGTTCCCTGGCTCACAGCACTGCCCTGGAAGCAGGGGGCTAGTCCTGGGGTCTCCTGGTCAAGCGGGGACCTCCTCGGCTCGCCCCGGCACAGCGCCTCAGCACGGAGGGGTCCCCTTCCCTCCCTCTGCTCCGCAGGGCTCTGCTCCCACAGCCGGGCTCGGTGCGAGCCGAGGCATCTCCCCATCTCCCCGCCGTTCTCCATCACTTGACTTCGTGCATCATTTCGTGGTTTGATTTGCACCGGCATGTGGTTCATCAGCCCCTGGTGCCCCATGGGGACACCCCTGCACTTGGGAGGGACGGCTCGGCGGCAGCAGTCCCTGCCATCCCTGCGTCTACCTAACACGTCTGTACAGATTAACTTATTACCCGCGACTCCCCACCCTTGGGTTTTTAGGCTCTCTCTGTGTGCCGGCTGCTCCCCAGCGCTGAGCGGTCTCGGGGGGCTGTGGCGTGGTGGGGCGAGGGGGCTCTCGTCCCCGTCCCCACAGGTTTTGTGCTGCTCCGTATCACTTTCACCGTGCAACATATCTGGATTTGGGGAACTGGGTTGGGGAGGGGGTGGGGGGGTATTGTGTCCGTTTTGGGGTGCACTTTTTGTTGTCGCTTTTTGGCCGCTCGGCTCAGTGTAAAGCTCGGTGGAGTCTGTGGTGTTGTCCCGGCCACGGCAGCTCTCCCCATCCCCGGGGTGCAACTGCACCGGGCCGTGAGCTTGGGGGAGAGGGTGGCTGTGGAGGCCCCCCCAGCTTCGCTTCCAAAGGGCAAACCCAGCCCCAAGCTGGCTGGGCGGTGCGGGCGGAGGGGAAATAAAAGGTTTGTACCGGACCCGGACGAGTCGGTGGCTTCACGGGGTGCCCGTCGCCAGCTGGGGAACAGGTTTGAGCCCCTGTGCAGGGCTGGTGGGAGGACGCAGGTCTGTTCCCGTCTTTGCAAGCCGAGCCAGGATGAAACCTCCAGCAAACTGGAGAGAAATCCCCTGCTTGGGCTGTTTTGCACTGACACGGAGCGTTGCTCCTCTCCGCTGCAGGCTGTGGGGCCGGCAGATTGGCCAGATCGAGAGATTCGGCATCAAGCGTAAAAGGAGATGCTGTGTTCCCCGGGGAGCTGGTACCAACGCCCGTGGGGTGGGTGGGCTCGGTGGGTGCTGGAGGGTGCGGGATGGGCAGGGGGCCATGCACGCCAACACGTCCACCCGTCAGCCGTGAGGAGGAGGAGGCTGAGACACGGCGGTGGGGAGGACTGCATGCATGTCCTCACGCATGGGTATAAAGAAGCACTGGGGAGCGAGGGCTTTTCCCACTGAAAATTGCCTGCCGGCACCTGGGCGCCCATTTCAAGGAGGGAAAGCGTAAACCGGGCCGTGCACGCGTGCGACACGTCAGCGTGACACGTCAGCGTAACACGCCGCGGCCGCCCAGGCTCGAGGGCTGGGACGCGCTCGCGTGTGCACGCACCCACCTTTCCCCCGCGGCGTGTGTTTTTCCTGGCGTGGCGCCCGCGTCCACGCCGCAGTCGAGCTCTCCCCATGCCAAGCACGACACAAAAGCTCACGCAAGGGCCTGGAGGCTCGTTTTTAGCACTTCAGTAGCTCAGCGGGGTCCCATCCTCGGAGCCAGCAGTGGCACGGGGCCCCTGAGGAATTGGGGCTGGTGCTGGCCTCAGCTGCTTATTTTCTCTGGGGTGCGGAGCTGGGGACAAGGAGGTGCTGCCCGACCCCTGTGGAGGGATGCTGGGGTGCTCGACACGAGTCGCAACCGAAGAAGGATCTCCAAAGGGGATGCAGGGCTTGGTTCGCTGCCTTGCCAGCAGTCTTTGCTGCTGGAGCACGGCCCCCCCAGTCCCTAAATTGGGGGGTTCGATGTCACCCCCATGCAGTGCGGCAATGCCGGGTGCCGGAGGGGGATGCTGTGCTCTGCGGGCTGGGCTCAGCTCGCTGAACAGAGAGGAGAGCGATGGTGTTTTCTGCTCGCTGCCTGCCCTGCCTGTGCAGCAGGCAGGGAGCCGTGTGGAGGATGCTCTGGGCAGCCCTGGCTGTACGGAGTCGGCGCGGGAGGTAGAACGTGTACCACGGCCGTATTGCGCGGGCGATGGGATCTGGGGGCTTGCACGGTGTCCTCAGCAGACAGCTGGGTGCCTCGGGGTCCCAGGGTGGGCAGAGGGGTGTCGGGGGCCGGCAGGACAAGAGGGAAGGATTGAGAGATGGGACCCCAGCGCTCAGCAGCCTTTGGGGTAGGGGCAAGCTGATGACCCAGAGACAAGAGCCCCCCGGCCAGGGCCAAGCCACCAAGTGCCCCCCCGGACGGTGTGTCAGGGGGTGTCTTTCTCCGGCATTTTCCATCCATAGCCCAGGGCATTAACGCTGAGCCCCGTTATGGGCTGGGCAAGGGTGCTGGCAGCCGCTCACCCCCAGACACCCTGCGGTGATGGAGCAGCGGTTGGGTGCAAGAAGGAGCGAACAGGAAAACCCCGGGATGGTGCTGCCTGGGGGTGAGACCCCCAACTACAGGGTTCTCTGCGTCCCCCTGCTATGGGCTGGTGCAGAGGGAAGTGGCAAGGCACAAGATCGGTGCGGACAGCTGGTAAACCCTGCCCGCCGCGGGCAGCGGCTCCGAGCGGGTCCCCTCCTGGGCTGGGAGCCGGGCTACAAACCGTGGACAAGCTCCTCGCCTTTAAACTGGAGTCAGATTCCTCGTTTCTGGCTCAGGGTGCAGGAAACTGTGCCCAGGAGCAGGTGAGGAGAGACCCCACTCTAACAAGAAGGAGATGCATGAAATTAGCTGGTTCCACTCCCCCCAGCAGGCAGCCGGGGTGTTTTCCATCCGACGCCTTTTCCTTCTCGCTCCCTCTTTTTTATTTTTTCAGGGGGGGAAGCAAAATTCATGGTGTGTGGCCCCATCGGCAACAGGCAAGCCAGCCCACGGCGGAATCGCACCCTCCAGCCCATGGCCGGCGGCAAGGGCACGGGGGATCATGAGCCCACGGTGGGTCGCGTCCTCGCGGCGACCATCTGCGCGCCCACGCTCGCCTCCCGCGCGTCCAGCCACAGGTCAGCAAGAAATCGCAGACCGGTAGGTGGGGACTGTTAGCCACGCTGCGGCAAGAAGCGGCTTCAAAAAGTGGGGGGAGGCCAGCAAGCTGCCCCCCACACCTCCACCACGGACCCCCGCAGCATCTCCCCGCTCGTAAGATGCCGTCGCTCGGCCTCTGTGCCGGCGATGTGCTGAGGGTTGTGGGGATTTCACTGGCTGTGGTTGGGGTCGGCAGCCCCACCCGGCAGCTCTCTCTGTGTCTGTGTTGGGCTGCTGTTTTCACCTCCAGAAAATGCCCCCTCCTTTCTTCCCCCTCCCTGCAAATCTCAGCTGCCAGGAGCTGGCCCGGCTCCACCGCCGCTCGCGCACTCCAGCTGAGGAGCCGGGCCACGCGGTGAATGCATTTGCTCACAGATTTCCCTCCCCTCTCGCCGTCTGCTCCCAATGGTGTCGTTCGCCCCTATTTCTCATCACGCTCTCCCGTGCCGAGGAAGATTTCGGGAGCTCTCGCAGCTCCTCGTCCCACTGTCGGGTGCCCAGAGCCCAGTGCCGTGTCCCACCGGGACATCTCTGCTTGGGAAGAGAATTGGGGTCCATGGTCCAGGGATGCCGCACAGGGCAGAAAGCCCAGGACTGGGACAGCAGAGTGGGGAAGGACTCCGAGATGCCCCTGCCTTGCACACACGCGTGCCAACCCCCATTTTCATGATCTGTGTCCGATTTTCCCGACTTGCAATGCACACGGTGTTGGTTCACCTGGGTCTGCACCCGTCGCTCCCCTTCGCCCCTTCCCACTCACATCCCGGGGAGATGCCGCTGGATGCAAAACAGCCGGGGGAAGGTTTCTTATTCTTGTCTCATGTTGGAGGAATGAGGGTCTTTCATGAGAAAGCACAAATTAGGGTGAAACAGCGGTTTTGGGGCCTGCCAGAGCAGGGCTTTTGAAGATGACAGAAAAAGAGCCCGGGCTCCTATCTCAGCTGGGGAAAAGATATTTTCTAGTTGCTCCAGCTGCCTCTCTCTGCCCCT